TAGTTCACAACCAGTGTTATCTGTATTAGCATCTCTCTTACGCAAAAGAATAAACAAGACAAATTTGATATCATGCTATGAACATATTGATGAAGAGATGTCAGCGACGCTTGAAGTTTCAAGCGAGGCTGACAGAACGTTAATAGCTAAAAAAATATGCTCAAGATCTTTATTTTGTTATGTGACCACGACGTAAAGTGTAAAATACTAACTTTTTTTTTTGTTAAATTTTGTTCATCAACCTATGTATCACTGAAGCAGATTCAATGGACAGGCGCAACATGAATAACTGCGGTGTACTCTTGTTTAGTACACCAGTATTTTAAGCATTAAAAGTTTTCATTAGTGATCTTCAAAACACAGACCACGGCAGATTTAAAAAGAACGGTGATTAAAAATGACTCAATTTCAAACTTAATTGCGATAGGAAGGAGAAAATTAAAAAAAAAATGCCCAAAAAAAGTACACATAATATATGATGCCACCGCGTGAAACAACAACGACCGAAATTGTATCCAGTCCAAGGTCATACAGAAACCTTCGTTAAAGTACCTGGTCTTACTATGTCTTTCCATCACACAATATCCTTATTATACAAAATTCAATTTGAAGAAACTTGTTACTCAACTCATTTGTCATCAGCTTGGCTGCATTTACGTTTAGTGATTGATGAATATTTGCTTGACGTCGATAAGTTCGTCCTAAATACAGACGATCGATATCAATTCTTTTCAGGAGAAACAGAGAACTATGGCATTGATTCTATTGGTGGTTTTTATTGATATACACAGTCATCTACGGTTACAACGTGTGCATTGAACAATATTATTAGTTTGAATCCTGGTGTGCCTGTAATCGATGTCGTTGCTAGAGGTGGATATCACAATCATGGCAGTTTTCCAATAAACATTATTGCTGGTATTTTAAGAGTTGAATTAATATATTTCGATTCTCAAACAAATAGTGAAAGAGCGCCCGTAAATGTCACCACGACCCATTTCAATGGATGATTTTTCAATCAAAATATAGATGATAACTGTGTTTCTCGTATTCGTAAAAATATAGTGTGAACAGACAATAATAGATCGACATGTATATCGAAGCAAGAAAATAAATATATCTCCGCTATAATTGCACCAAATGAGCTAATTTTTTATCACTGATATAAGCATGATCGTAGATCGCATTCATAAGAAAAAAAAACATTGATACACTCCATTTTGAAATAATATCGTTAACTTCATTAAACAACTGTCAAGTTTCGCGGGTTATGAAAAAACAATACTGTAGTTTTCTCAAAAACCTCTTACGATTTATGGCTGAAATTTTCGCAGTACGATGAATAGCAAGATATATGAGTATCAGTATGATCTTTGTGTTCATTCACATGCACACCCATACCCACATCACACACCCCCACATGCTCAAGCATCGATCATTGATACTAATCTATCTGTTGCACGCACACGCTACCAGCTGAGCATCCTATATGGAAAACGGTGTGATGAATACCAAACTGCACTTCTTTATGCTCAGAGAGCATTACCTATTCGCCAGAGCAAATTGCCGCCTAATCATAACGAAGTGACTTAATCAATTGAGCTTATCAAGAGATTGTCACAGCAACAAACTGTTATTTTGTCTCATCATATTGCATATTGAAAACTGTCTTATAGTAGTGAGTTTCGATCCGAAGCAGATTATTCAAAAAGGTATGGGTGTCAGTGTGAGTGCGAGTTCGAGTAAGCGTGCATGATTCTGTTGGTACGGATATGTTCTATCAAAACACACTCACACCCGAGTATAGATAGCAAGATAACAGGATAATATCAGCAACGATTTTATCAATGTTTGTGTAAGAATCAAAGCAAAGCTTACCTCTGAATAATCATTGACCAGATAATTAGTCGGATGAACAGTTAGTCATGATACAATAGATTTCGAATAGCTCGTCACATGGATAATAATGAAAGAGAACGGTTATCGTGTCATTAACTATTATTTGAATATGAGACGAAAAATTAAAATAAATAATATTCACAGAAAAACTGAAAATCGACATTGATGTTCACGATGCAGCATCGGTCACAATTGTTCTGATTAAGTATTCTAAGAATTGATTACTATCAAAAGCCATGATAAGTCGCGTGACTTGATCGCTGCATTTCTCAGAAGGGACTTTCTTTAGTTTTGAGACTATTTTGAACTTGACGATGAGGGTTATAGCTTATCAAGCCAAATTTTCTGTGACTGACGCAAGACAATTCAACTTTTGTTGGACAGGAATCAGAGTTCGCAATGGATTTAAATATTTTTTTTAAAGTTCAACGTAGGCCTGCTTCTTAGTAAAGTTTGTGAAATATGGGTCTCGAGTAAGTCCTACAGGCTCTGCCATAAAATTTATAATGATAGTTATGTGTAGATATAATCGTAAAGGAAAGTTTTGTTCTTTTTTCCTGTTTTATGAAAAAAAATGAAAGCCACCGCTTTGACTGAAGCGAATAAAAATTAAAAAAGCAATTGAATTGGTTGTTTTTGTTCACTATTCTCTTCGACATGGACCTGGGTCTAATCAATAGAAAATTAAATATTCTTGAAAATAACTTCGAAATTCTAGGAAGAAAAGCGATTACTGATCAATAAGTTTCTCGAGAAGTAACGATATTAACATAGAAGATTTTGAGAAGTACAAGGAAAGAAAGCCAATGTTTACAAACAACAGTAAAGACAGTATCTATTTCAGTTAATCAATTGACAAACTGTTTGTCATGTCCGTATAATAGAACATAAAGTAAACATTCATAATCGAAAAGATATTTTGTATAATCTTGAGGATTGTTCACCTTATCATCACTGTTTTCATGACTGGTTTTGATTTCTATTAGAAAAAAAAGTTTTTGACAAGGATGAAAACATCAATTAACATTACTCTTTTATTTCTAATCATCTTTCAGTTTAACGTCACTTTTCAATATTTCAATAAAATCTAATGAATGGAATATCGATCAAATCAGCAATGACTAAATAGAATTGAGTTTGTTGCTCACCTTGAAGATACTTATAGATGATTTTTTGAAAAGACTCACACAGTGCATCAACATTCATTAGATGCATTCACTCGTCATTGCTAAGAAGTTAGTATTCATCTCAACTTCAATCGACGAAAATTTGGTCGATCAAAGAGTCAATTCGAATACCTTTCGATGATCAGACAACACGGTCGACCAAGTGAAGTGATATTTGCTGTTTTGTATTTGTTTCTTTGAATGATGCTTGCATCTCAATCATTTCTATTAATGACTGATTCAATGATACTCAGTATTTGCCTTATCATGCTTTCCTTCTCTCAAAAATAAATACAAATGTATACAGAGGCTTGCAAAGTTAATATTCGACTTTAGTGAAGATCTTCATACAAAACTAAATCAACGAACATTTGATACAAAATAGATACAGACTGCATGATCTACTCAAGCAAGTATGAACGAAAACGAGACTAAGTTTCGACATTTGATCAGAATTTTATCGATTCATGCTTTATTCAATTGATCAGTTTTAAGCAATTCTTTATGACAATGAGAATTATTCACATCCGTTCAAAACTAGTCATGATCTTGTTAATTGTTATTTTTCTATCGAAATTAACTAATATCTTTATGAAGTACGTTACGTCACTCGAATCTTGCCAATAATAGTTTTGAAAAAATAAGACTACTAATTAGTCACCATTACGATTTAGAACTCATTACTACAGATCGAATCAATATCTAAAAGCACAGTCATTTTTAGCGATTATGAACACGCCATGTTGACTGCTGGAATCAGATAAACAAAAAAAAACGGTGAAGACAAAGTCATAATGACATGCACAACCATACTCATTAAAACTTATTTATCACAGAACGACAAGAAATTAATGTTGACACGATTTCACAGAAAACGTTGAAAGGATAAAATTGCTTCTATACTTGAACGCTAAAGATTCCCGACTTGTCTGGAATATATATATATTGAAACAATAAGAGAGATATTATCTTGAATCTCATATTTCTCTGTTTTTTTCCTACTTGATGATCCTTATAAGAACAAACGTTCTTGGCATCATGTTGTACGAAAATATCCAATTTTAATTGGATATCTTGAAAATAAATACCTCTATGGAGACTTTTCTATAAATATAGTCGGATCAAACATCTTTGCATTGATTAATTTCTCTCTGTCATCTTTTTGCTTTTTTTGACCATTTTTCTATTAATAGGTTTTTGTTTGACCGTAGATTGGCTAGATAACTCATAATGTCAATGACATTCATATCCATTGGAATCATGAAAGGTTAATTGTTTTCTTTGTTCATAGAATTGCATAATACATCATAAACAACAAGTTCTCATCTAAAACAAGAATCTAATCTATTCTAATTCATCGGCGCATTATTTCAATTCCACAATAATCAATGTAAGACAATAATTGACTTTTTCTACAAAGTAAAATCCATTGTGAATTATTTTTGATATGTCAAGCATTATGCATAATATCATTTACATTCACGACGTGTATTATTTTCTCTTTTATTTAAAAAAACAAAGAAAGCATACTATCAAGAACTCTTTATCTTACACAAGTATAATGAAATCTATAAATAACAAGAAGATAATTAATGCCATTTAATATACTTTTGTTTTCATAAATTCTAAGATAAAAATAGAATATCTTCTATAAAAATTTCTTATAATTAAAATTTATATAAACTATTGTAATAAGAAAATGACTAGAAGCTATGCATTTCGAGGTATAATGAATCATCAAAAAGCCAAGGGGTTTATTGTTGTTATGATAATCAGTTATATAAATAAATCTATCTATAAACTTATGTTGTACATAAAAGAAGCCTGGTAACAATGAGAATAGGATGATTGATCTATTTTCTATTGAAATAGATTGATATAAATATACACATAAAATATAGTGATGAATAAAAACATATGTTTTACATTGATTAATCAAGGTCTTAATTGTGGAGAGCAATTTGAAGTTTTAATTCGATTTAATTCATAATAAACTGTCATGGTGGTATTATTAACAGATGAACGTCGTTTATAATCACTATTTGTTATTAATTCTTGTGTACGACGTCGTTGTGTATATTTAATTGAACGTCGTTGAGAGCAACATGTTTTATTTGACCAAAAACATAAATAACGTTTATAAAAATGACGGAATGTTGAGGAAAGAAAATAAAGTGCAAATGGATTAATACATGAATAAATATTAGTTAAAATTAAAGCAATTGTTTTATTTATTTGCCAAAAATGATTCCACCCTGATGAATAGACAAGTACACCAATAAACCTAACATAAAATGGGAAAATTAACAAAAAAAAAAAAAAAAGAATTTTTATTGTATGTCGACATTACCAATATAAATCATGTAGTTGTTTTGGTAACCAACATATAAAAAAGACCAGACATAAAAATAGAACAGTTTTAGCAACTTTATGTCTTGTTCGTAATTGTTTTGTCCTTCTTATATCTTGATTTATGGTATTTTTTGTTTGATAATTAGACAAACTTTCTGAAATAGGTCGGATATTATTATTTACTTTAACACTAAGTAAACGGTTGTCTTCATGTATTGAATTATTTTGAGATAAACGTAAAGAAAAATTTGAAGAATAAAAAGCATCTTTCTTTTGAAATAATTTTTTAGCAATAAGAGAATAAAATATTGAAATAAATACAAGTGGCATTAAATAATAAATGATTAAACGCAAGATTTGACGAGTAATCATAAATGTATGATTAACAAGTAATACATTTTCATTTGGACTCCAACAGTAAATTAATTGAATTGTTTTATTACTTGATTGTTGTATTGTTTCCATTATAAGGCCTAAAATCAATACGTATTTATAAATATTTATCGATATGTTCGAAGCACATAACAATAAATCTTACCACTATAGATCGTTTCAGGTAGAGCAAGGCATGCTGATAATAACCAAATAACTATAACAACTAACTTTAGTTTAATTGATGAATCATTTGCATGACTTGAAAATGGTTTAGCTATTATTTTATAACGATCAGCACTTAATGCTAATAATGAAAATACAGATACACCAAGAGAAAGATTAATAATAAAATTTTCAAAACGACAATAAAATGTTGAAAATGGATAATAATTAAGGGAATAAGCGACGGCACCAAATGGAACACAAAAAAGAACAAACAAAAAGTCTCCGAGGGCCAAACTAACAACAAGTAAATTTGGTACTGTATGTAAATTTTTTTGACGAAATACAATAACTAAATTATATCAAATAAATAATCAATTCCCTAATCAAGACTTCATACTTACACATTAAAAGACCATTTCCAATAAGACCAACAATATAGACCAGAGAAAAAAGAATTAATGCTACGATACGATAGACGATCGTCATTATTTACCAATACTTAACTAAATCTAAAAAAAGAAGTCATTTGTAATTAACTAAATAATATCTTCTTATTCACATAGTTCCATTGTATGAGTTTGTAATTCATCCATGTCAATGGTAGACTCACAAGTAAGATGTAGATCTCGATTCTGAATATATTGTTTTTTCTTCTTTTTTTTTCTCTTCTCTTTCATGAAGCTATTTTCTTTCTTTTCTTTTCCTCTCTCTCTCTCTCTCATTTCCTTTTATGTAGAATAATTTATGTTAAGTGAAGTGTTTTGTCATCAATCTTTAAACAAAAACATAAAAGATTTATTCATTTTCAAGAAAAACTAACTGCTTTTCTTCAAACATATATGAATTACATATTACTGGCACTCTAAAAAATTCTTCTATTTTCTTATTCTATGTCAATAACATCTTATCTTAAAAAGTAATAGTAAAGAATGGCAGATCTAAGAATCTATTGATGGTATGACAATTTCTAAACAACACTTTCATGAGATTGTGTAAATTTTTATTTCCTGAAATCAGTCAAGTAGTTTGCACATATATCTCTGCATCATTTTTATTAAAAAAATGTATAAATTCATGGATAAATGAGTTTTAAAAAAACAAAACAGTTAGCAATACAACTCAGGGATCCAGACAACGATTAGATTTGAAAAACTTCCTCCAAAACAGAAGCAGCTTTCTATCTAAATTTCGACAAATATGTATCATATCTAATCTATTAAGCGTTGTTTTTGATACTATTGTTCTCGGATATTACTATTTTTTTTTGAAAAATTCTCTTCAAGCACGTTCTAAAAGGAATGCTAAAATATAGCAGTTAAAATTTAAACCTCTCACAAACCGTATAAACCACTTGTTTATTGTGTTGATGAAGAATTAAAAGAAAGAATATTGAGGGATTATGTCTTAAAGTAGATAGAATAAAACAATCTTCCTGTAATTACTAAAAGCATCTAAATCATATATCAAACTCTAATCCTGCAGAATTTAGTAGAAAGACGATATCTTTCTACGAAAACATTCCAAAATTAAAGGTAGATGCATTGTTTGTCCTTATTTATGTCGAAGTTGCAGAATGCTTTTATTTTGAACATTTGAAGCTTATGTTTATTTTTGACATAATCATCAATTATTCGAATTAATGTCTCATGTTCTATATGAATCATTAGCTGTTATTCATCAAAGTATTTAACTGAGTATTAGAACTGAGTATTAAAATTGTCATTGAGCGATCATGATGAACTTTTCTTTGCAACATCATGCACGTCAAAATTTTAATTCTTTTTGTGCAAATCTATGTTATAGAGACTAATGAATTCGAAATTCACAAATAAGCAAATAAACCAATCTAAGTATATTAAAAATGTTTATTTATTATCGAAAATTTTAAACAAATTATTCAAAATAATTCTATATTATACAATCTTCTTTATTTATTCCATCGTTATTAGGTAGTTCTTTATCAATCAATCATGATTTATTATCTTATTCAAATCTTTTCTTCCGCCTGTGTTACTATAAGCAATACATTTAATATATCTTACAAAAGAATATATAATAATAAAAAAAAAACAACATTTGTAAACATGATTGATTATATCTTTTCAAACGACTTTGTTATTGACAAAAACAAGATTTATAGTTTTGTTCTATTTATTTATTTCGGACAAACATTAAAATATTTGACAAAGAAAGATGATATAAACTGATAAATCTTCATTCGATGTAATTCAATAGAGTCGATTGATTGCAAATTTTTCTTTCACGATGAGAGTTAGATACGTCATATATCTGTTTGTTTTTAAATCCTATATTTCAATTGATTCTTCTATTTTATTTACCTATATTTTTCTCAAAAAGTAAAAATATATTCAAGAATTTGTTCATGTCGTCACACAAAGCAAAATTCACGAAAAATGTAAGTAATTTTGAAGGATCGTGCGTATAACAACAGTATTTTTTTCCAAACAGGTACTTATTCGAAGTTAATTTATTTTGATAATGAGATTCTAATGAAATCAGTGAAGCGATAGATACTATTAAAGTTACTAAGATAAATCAACCTTATAAAACACTTCTTTGTGATTGTTAGCTAGATGATTGTTTTGCATTTATATATATATATGTCGAATAATAATTAGTTGAATATTATATATTGAAACTTTTGTTGAATGAAAAATGCGCAATTCTTTTTATATGAGTTTGAAAACGGACCTATCATAGGTGAAATGTGAAAAACGTTCGAATCAATAACCTTACTTCTTTCTCTAAGATAATGTCAAAAGTTTAAAAGAAATAACAAATCTTAGATTTGTTTAGTTTATTCTAATACACACCTGTTTAAATACATGGTTAAAATGAAGATCTATATCTACGATTTTCAAAATATAGTGTATGTCAGATTGTCGATGTTGACTATGATATTCGAGTTTGAAAAGCTGTTTACTAATACCAAAGAAATTCGAAGAGTTAACAAAGAAAACCTAAGAGTGATGCATTGTATTAATGTAATGTTTTACAGATTATAGTTTAACAATGTCATTTAATATTGTTTTCGAAAATGTTATTCATGCGTAGACAACAACATGTTGTTAATAAAACGATTAAATTTTTCAAAATTCATTTTCAACGATTTGATTAAAGAGAGTGCATATAGAAAATAAAATTTCCTATTAGATTTTAATCAAACATATTGTCTTTTTAAGAAAAATTACTGCAGTTTGTCGAAGAAATGCATATTTTTGTTGGATACGAATATTTTTGTTCAATGAGAAGCTATTACAATTTGTAAATAAAGAAAGTTTCTAATCAATGAAATTTTCTAATCTACAAAGAATCACCACAAATATCAGAAAGCTAGACCGGCTAATTATAAGGAAAGACTATGATAATTACTTTGCTTTTTTATAGCAATTATTAAGTGCTCTATTTGGGGTAACATTACAAGCATTTACAAATTAAATTTGAATGTAAAGTAAGCGATTAAAAAAGATTTTATTATCGGTTGTATATAAAAATTTTTTTCTGCAAGAAAATTTAATATTATGGACAAATCTTGACTAAATAAATTTGCTTTTTTACTATCGATAAATATAATACTCCGAATGGGCGAGCAAGGTTCATCGATTTGAAAATAGCTAAGAAGAATATTAATCAAAGTCCATGATAGATTTAACAAAAGTTTTATCAAAGTCCATCGTAATGATTTGACAGATCATTGATCCGTAAAAAAAGAAAAGATTACTGTTTGTAATGAAGAAAAACAATAAGAGAAATCTTTACTTCGTTGATCGATTAACTTCGAACAGAAAATCAGCTTATGGGCGGAGGGGAAAGTTCACTTCATCTATTTTGTATTAGTGTAATTAGGCCAAAGAACATATGTAAGTTCTACAAGTCAACTCCAAAGAAGCTGTGCTAACAGGCTTTTTTAGCACGATGGTTCTCAACGACCTCTACAAATTACAGTTAACTTGAAGTAAAATCGAGTATATTAGTTTTCTTAAAATTGATATGAGTAAGTTTGCCAGAATTTAAAACAAAAAATGTCATAATCTTATTTTTGAACTGATTTAAATATAGAAAGTCAATGAAACTGAGTTTAACAGACTTTGAATTCTGATATATGCTAGCAAATGAGAAGCTACAATTAGGATTTAACTGTGAAATCACAATAAAACTTTATATATTTTCTTAATTGGTTGAAATAATATCGTTTATTCTCAAAAGCTTGTCATCAGACGTCAGCTTTCATTTTTTTTCTAAGCTACTTTACGCCTACTCTCATAATCAAAGAATAAAGTATTCTGGAGAAATTATTTATACATCCATGAGTGTAATTCCTATCTTAAAACATTTATTACATTTTATGTGATATAAATAATGTCATTACTAAATCATTAAACATATTCAAAATCATTCTACTGAATTTTATTATTTCCTGCAATAACTAGTAACTATAGTTTCTTTTTTGTAGTAAAAATCTGCATGATTGTCAAAAATTTGATATAAATAAATATTTTATTCGATGTTAAATTTTTTGAAAAAGATGAATCAAAGTTGTTATAACAAGGAAAAAAAAAGAGAACACACTACTATTGTAATTTTAACAAAAAAGGTTCATTGATAGTTGTGAGAGAAAAATAATTCATTGGTATTATGATTTTTAAAGAGCATAATTTTTTTCTAAAGCTGTAAGTGCACCATTTGTAGCATCACTGACCACACCAGTAACTGATAAACGCCATTTCCCAATATGTAATGGAGCATTATTGTCAACAAAATTTTGAAGTTCATTAAGTTTTTCTAAAAGAAAAAAATGACATGACAATAAGAAATGTTATTAGCAGAATTTCTGCAGAGTTGAAATATGAAACACTATGGACTTGCTAGTAGTATAAAAGATGAGATTAATTAATATATATATAGATCCTAAGAAGTCTGTTGCATCTGTAAGGATTTGAGTCCTGCCAGATTCAAAATTTTCAAACTCTGGCCGAGAACCAACCCGACGAGCTCTAGTGAGGGACAGTCTAAATCTCTACCTCTATACATCAAGGCTCCTTCTAGATTATGTTTCACGAAAGACAAAGCTTATAAATAAATGACTACAAATACATACTACGATCAGTTAATACAACAGGTAGATTAACGTTAACATTAAGACCTTTATGAATCTTAACAGTATCACCAGCATCAAATAAAATTTGTCCTTTACAATTTTTAATAATTGCACGTGCTTCTAATGCAGGATAACGAACAAATAATTCATTATCAAGTTCAATACGAAAACTTTGTGGTAAATTCATATCAAGACGTAATTGTACTTTATGTACAATATTGGTTGTATTAAGTTGAAGAATTTGTATATGAAAATCAAGTTCACCATTGATTATTTCTTGTTCATTTTGTGATATAATTTCTCCAACAAGAAGTGTTGGTAAATCAACAACTAAATTAATATTCCATTCACCACTAGATGTTATTGG